CTGTGGTGGAAGGAAACAATGAGTGGTTTCTGGAGAACAGCAATGGTATTGGGACAGATGACATGAAATGTATTCAGTAGTACAAAGTTTAGAATAAACACACAGTAGTATTGCCAAGTTCCTTAGTTTACTTCGCCCGTTTGGAGTCAACATGAAAGAACGGGATGTGTCATTACTTTTGTGCAGGGATCGATGAGATGAAATGCAATTTCATCAAACTACGAGGCGAGAATGATTTTTTTTAATACACTTACCCACTGGAAAAGAAGCATTGACAACAAACAGCATTTTGATCCTTAGCTGTGTAACAAACGAGTGACTCATTACCTTTTTTATAACAATGCACCTTGAATCCTTGCGCACTTGAAGTCCACACCTGAGCTTCATCACTGAAGTGCAGACTTGGAGGAAGGGCTCAGGGTGCAGTATGAGAATTGGGACATGGTATGTGTCTCTGGTGAATACTGTGGGTTTACTTTGATTGGCAGAATGTTGTCAGTGCTAGAGAATACAAAGGGCAATTATATACAGTAGGTGAGCTCTCTTGTCTATTTGAGTGCATCTGTGGCCTTTGGAGATTTAAAGAACTTGTTGCAGGTCCAAGCACCCTTGAAATAGCTAGGTGGCGATGTAGTCAGCTAAAAAAGCTAAAATTATCCCGTAATTAGGGTTTGCCATCTGTGACACATCCCCTGCTAGGTGGCTGTTTTATTGGGTTCCTTTCAACAACACAGCTCTTTTTTTTTGGACATCCGAAGAAATCTCTTCTTTCTTCTCTTTTCAACATGGTTCCTTTGCAGCCTACACATGCTGCCGCAGCTACCCACCTGAATTCCTCATCGTATTGAAATATCGTATGAACATCGTATGAAATATTTCACTTTACCAAGATGCTTTAACGCTACTAATCTTTTGAGGAGCTTTGTACACATGAATGCTCTTTGTCATGGCAGAGGAAGTCTTTGGCATTAATACTGTATGTGTAAATAAATACCACAAATCCCTAGATCTGTTGATTTTATTCAGTGCTTAATTTTTGGTAGAATATTTTGTAAGATTTTATTTTTGTACAAAAGCAGGTTTTACCTTAAGGAAATTATATATTAACAGAATGAACAACATTAGACAACAGTGATTCTTTCTTTTAAGAAATAAAAAGCAGCTATATCACCCTGAAACTCATACCTGACAGCCCACTGAAGCCGAGTAGGTGTGAGCCTGGTCAGTACCTGGATGGGAGACTTCTTGGGAAAGCTAAGGTTGCTGCTGGAAGAGGTGTTAATGGGACCAGCAGGAGGTGCTCACCCTGCAGTCCATGTGGGTCCTAATGCCCCAGTATATTTACAGGGACACTATACTATATTGAGGGGAGTCCCCATTACCTGTAAAATGTTTTGAGT